AATTTCCTCTGTTTTATCCTGCAGACCGCAGACATGAAAATTTTTAAAACAATCGGATTGTGATCTGAAGCAACTCTCGGTAAGTGTTGGACTGTAGCAAAAGGAAGCAATTCAAGAGCCTTGGTATTCAAAAGACATCTATCCAATCTTTCATGTATACAAGCATTTCCATCTTTATTGTTGCATCAAGTAAACTTGGGTCCAATGAACCCAATATCATGTAGATCTGAATTGTTCATAAAGTTCATCATCTCCATAGAACCTTTTTAAAGAGAGAATATCTTTCCCCCTTTCTTATCTTCATGAGATAGGAGACAATTAAATTCCCCTCCAACAACATATGGAAGATCCAACTTATGATATTTCTCCAAAATCTGCCATAAGTTTCTTCTAGTGTAAAGGTCTCTACCACCATAAACAGTTGAAATAATCCACAAACCTTTGTTTAAGATATTGAGTTCCCCCACTATACATTGGTTTGTAACAGTAATAACTGAAAAGGAAGCTAAAGCCTTCTTCCAAAACACCAAGATCCCTCCTGACATACCACAAGAGGGAAAAATAATGAAGTCCCATTCGTCTCCCATGAATTTATTAAAATCTTCCTTGTCCAAAAACTGAATTTTTGTCTATACCAAACCAACAGAAAGAGCATCCCAACCCTTCACAACTTCCTTCAGATATAGGGAGGCTTCTTTTTTACGCGCCCCCTACAATTCCTAAAAACTAAGGAAGTCATTTGGATAAGAAAGGGGAGGAGCCCCCATTTCTTCTCTTCTTTTCATTCAATTTATTGAGTCTAGATGAATTATTAAGGGGACCAAGGTTTTTAAGTTCTTTGGACAATTTCGGTTTGCTCCCTACCAAAACAGATTTGTTTAGGAATCCAGGTTCAATAACTCCCACAACACATTTAGGAGAAGAATCATTTTTCTCAATGATCAAGTTAATAGCCTGAATTTCCAACATCTCACCTTCTTCCACCTCCACACAACTAATATCTTCTTTATTAATAACATCCTCTTCCATAATAGAATTAAGAATATCAAATTTATTAGCATCATGATGAATAAAACTAGATGACATAGAAGGGGAAATACCAAGATTATCCTGAGAAGAAGTGTTCCTGGAGAAGGATATGTCTACCGCGGTAGAATCATCAATAGCTTTGACAGTCTCCACCAATTTTTCTGAATTTGAAGGTACTCCTGGGGATGAAACTCCCACCACATTCTCAACAAGTGCATTAATATTAGGAGTAGATATAGAATCAGCATCTTTATTACTCCTGTCTGAACGAGGTTGAGAAATCAATATGGCTCTCCAAATAGCCTCTGGTTTAAAAATGGATGAATTCCTCTGAGCTCCTATATTACTCTCTGATTTCTTCTTGTTATTGACTAGAGTCCACGAACCATAAGTAAGATCTTCCAATGCCACAGCTGAAATAGAAGATTTTTCAATATCATTACTGAAATCATCTTTCTTCTCTATACAGTTAGAACCACTGTATTTCTTTAGATCAGGACAGATTTTAGCTACATGTCCAATTTTACCACAATGAAAGCATAAGGAAGAAATCTTTTCATACTCAAGTTTTTGAAAAAATCTTCCTTCACTTCCATCAACCCAAACTCCTAAGGGGAGTTTCTTATCAAGCTCAATCCGAATACAAATTTGAGCAAACTCGCTTCTTCTCCATTGGAACATATTGCCATCAATTAAGAGAGGTGTACCAACCATAGAAGCAATCTTTGATACATTTGTTTCATCCCAACAATATAAAGGGAGATTGGGCATTCTTACCCAAATTGGAGAAACCAGTCCTTTCAAAGAGATCGGATTGAATGAAGGATTCCATCTTTCCATTACAATAATATGGTTGTTGACAAACCAAGGACCTCCAGCAAAAACCTTCTCTAGGCTATCATTATTCAAGAACGAACATAGGACCCGGCCAGATCCAAGCACCGTTAAACTGAATTTCCCAAACTGCATCCATTGTCTTCTCAGTTCAGTCGCAATTACCTGGGTAGGAAGAGATTTACCAAACACTTTGACTACCAATGAGGATTGTAATTTCATCATGTTGTTTTGAACATTAGGTTCGTGTAGACGAACCGCAGATCCATCTTCTAAGAAACAATGTTCAACATTCTTCATATCCACCTTGATGTATGGACGCCTCAACCAAGGATTGCTAAAACTTCCTTCAATAGCTTTTAAATCTTCTTTAGGAGGAATTGGGATAGAAGCATTATTACAACCATTTGAAATGCTACTTGGATTCTCAGTTAAATCCATAGCTTTAACGGCCACCGAATCAGGTTTAGTATTGACAAACCTATTCACAAATAATTTAATACCAGATGAAGATGACTCCATAAGAGAATTCCCCAGAAAACCAGGTGAATTATTCAAAGTCACCTCTTCCACTACCTGCTTTCCTTTCCCTTCTACCGGAGTTGAAACAGTCAATTTAGTAATAGATGGTTCTTTGATACAAAGGGGGCCATAAGCTCGGGAACCATTAGCAGGAGAATAACATTTCAGTATTTCAGGATCAGGAATCAGATTCCGGCCATCGCCATCGTAAGACAGACGGCCATCCATAATCGGCGCAAAAACCGCGCCGAAAGATTGAAGACGAAAATTTTTTAAAAAACAGTTGAAAATCCTGGACCTTCTCGCTCTAACTATGGAGATTCAACTGTTGAGTAATTAGACTTTAAGTTTGCTGAATTAGGTTTTTCTAGATAAAGTTATGAATTTTTAAAGTTTTGACTTAAATTTGACTTAAGATTGACCAAAAAGTTGACTTTTGACTTTGAGTTAATTCTGGGATTTTGACATTTTTGATAAATATTAGACCTTAAATTAAGTTGAATGACTTTGAGTAGCTCAATCTAGATTTTTCTAGAATTAGTTATAAATTTTAAAAAAATTTAGGTATTTAATTAAATAAATTAAGGTACTTTTAATGATTTGAATCCAAACTGATTCCATACTTCTTGAAATCACTCCTAATGGTTAGTAATGATCCAAGGGAGTGTTTACAAGTGTTTGAGATTTTTTTATAGAATTCTTAAATTGTTTATTTAATTAAATATTTATATTTATTTAAAATTAAATTAAACTTAAAATTGAAGACCAATTTAGGGGCTTTTAATTTTCTCTAATTAAGATTTTAATTTTGGTTAGTCTGAAACATTATTCAAAATTTTTGGATTTGATTTGAATTTATTATACTTTTTTTTAATTAAAACCAACAGAGGGGCCTACGCGTTAATATTAAAAAAATAGTTACAGAGTCCTTACTAGTGACCATCGACTCATTAATGCTCTTACGAGCTACAAAACAAAGCAAAAGAAAACCTACGAGCCAATTATCACCACTAATCAAAAATACAAGGCACCCTAATAACATGCGAATGATGCTAGGCAAGCATACAAAAAAGAAAGACAATATGATTATAGTAAGGCCCAATCTTTCTACAAAAAAGGATGAAGACAGTTAAAAGCAGCTTCTCCTACAAGGAAAAAAAGTTACACCACAACAAAAGATATGTTAAATAACCGTAAAAAGAATAGCAGGTAGCTACCAAGAAACCAAGGGGACATCTGATCCAAGTAAAGCCAATCTTAGAATTCATACTTAAAGAGCTCAGAGAATAATTAATAAAATAAGCGTCATAAGAAAAATCCACAAGCCACTCAATCCTACCAATAGTATCACCCTAAACCACAAAGTACATTCCAGCACCACATAGGATCCCCAATAGAATAGCACGGATTATCCAGAAACCCAAATATGAAATTAATGATCTCCCATCCGAATTATAGTGGTTGAATATTGGTAGAATCTCGTTTCGACCCTTCGAGATCATATGTGATTCTTATTTGAATTCGACTACTACAATAAGGATGACAACTGTTAGTTTCATCACCTGAATCTGTTAGCAAATAATATCTTTGCCTTAAAGGGCAATATATAGTTTATAACGAGATGTTCGATCTTGAGACTGTAGATTTAATATTAAATTTCCCAAATAAGATTATATATTTCAAAACCTCTTTTTCAAAATTCCACAAACAACTTTCCAAAAGACTGTTTCATAATTTACGTGTATTTAAGCATATGAGTCAAAGCTAACATAATGCTGAGCATCCCATAAAAAAAAAATTTAGGCAAAACACATCAAATTGTGGGCTACTTAGACCTGCTACTAACCCACTTGGAGATGGTGAAGTGAACTTCTCCTTAAATCCAACTAATTAAAATCAAACAATGATAAATTGCTCAATAGAAGAGCCGAACGGTTCACAAATAATTTACTCAATTAACTAGTTTTTTTTTTCGATTCAACTGCAGACATTTTGATTGGTTTTCGAAGGTTATATGCAAAAGTGGGCTTTTAACTAGATCAAATCGGTCAAAAGATTGATTCACGATTAAACTGGTGGTCAATTTGTTCAAGTTTTAAAATCATGGTAATGTTAATTTGCATAAAAAGCACATTAAAATAATGCAATTTATAAATTTACATTACAATTAACATTTAAGCGCAATCTAATTAAATTGTCTTTATACTACATATACAGCACTAAAAATGCTTCTACATTTAAAAGACAAAACAAATAAATGTACACAAAATTGAAAAAAAAAAATCATGCCAATCATTATATATCTCTCAATCTTCAAAAACACCCTCTACTAGCAAGTTGAAGCATTTAATCTTGTGGACTATTGAATACTTATATCATATCGTAAAATTTGCAATTCTTCATCGAAATATAAAAAAATAAAAAAATTTCTTATTATTTTTTTAATTTTTTTTTTAAATTTTATATTAAAAAACGACTTTAAAAAACTATAAAAAAGCTGATTCAAAACAAGTCTAAAACAGGAAAGTTTCTCAATATTTTAGAAAATATATTTAAGCTTATATATACCACCTTTGAAGAATTACCACGTGCTCGCTTTCTTCTCTCGCATGTGATATGTTTGTTTTCTGGACAAGTGTTTTTTTTTTTTCTTAAAAACAAGTGCTTCCAGGAAACGACCGTCTTGAATTAGCCTCCGCCTTCTGCAACCTTAGGGTTTTCACCTAAGCTTACCCCACATGCTACTAGTATTAGAGAAGGTCTTTCCCAAAACTACTTCTTTGCCCAGGTCAACGAATGCGCCTTTCGCTTTTAATGTTGAATGGGACGCCGTCGTCTATGACGAGAACTTCAAAGACAGAAGGGCTTTTATAACCCTTGGGCTGTGGTAATATACGGGATTCCCTTTTAAATTTGACCTTCTTAAAGCTTGGAGTTTTTTTTTTTTTTTTGCGTTGTTAGGTTGAAATTTGCTGAAAAGTTATTTACTTGATGTTCGGGAGATAAAGAGATGGGTGGCGGGAAGAGGAAGAAGGTTCATATCAGTAAACTTCTCAGCTTCACCTGTGGGAAATCTTACACCCTAGACGAGCAATCGCAGATAGGAGGCCCTGGCTTCTTGCGAGTTGCTTTCGCAAATGATCCGGATTGCTTTGAGGCTAGCAATCTCAACTATGGACTGAACTATGTTTCTACTACTAAGTACAATTTGGCTACATTTTTACCGAAGTCTTTGTTTGAGCAGTTCAGAAGGGTTGCAAACTTTTATTTTCTTGTTACTGGATGTCTTGCCTTTACTCCACTGGCTCCCTACACTGCTGTGAGTGCAATTCTACCGTTGATTATTGTGATTGGAGCAACCATGGCAAAGGAGGCTGTTGAAGATTGGAAGAGGTTCCAACAGGTACTTCTATTTATGGGACTTTTTTTTTTTTTGGTTTTGTACCTCTCTCTCTCTCTCTCTCCTCAACGGTTCCACTTTGTTTAATTGAAGCTGTTATCAGCAAAATTAATCAAAACTTTTGTCGAATAGGTTTTAATTCATAATTCATTGTTTTATCAATGCAAAGAGGATTTTTTTTTCCTTTTGAGGATTGTTTAAAATGCCAGACTTTGCAATATTGATTGGAATCTGAAATTCTTTATACAATTGTTGTATTTTTTGTTTATTAGAATGACAACAAATTCAAAAATGAACTTGGCTGATCCAGTGATTGCTCAGTTTTTTTTATGAGCGGGATTTATTGTATTTCTTTTTTTTTTTCAGAAAATAGTATTTGAAAAATTATGGGAGCTGCCTATGTGATTTTTTTTAAAGGGTTCTTCAATCGGTGGTGCCGAAGCCTAAAATATATCTTTTTGTTATTTATTTTTTATCTGATGGATTTAATAGCTGCGCTATGCAGATTGTTGTTTTAGGGTATAATTATAAATTGGTCGTCCTGTTTCATTATAGGTTTCCTCATTAAATTTCCACTTTGGATTGGGAAAAAAATTATCCTTTCTTTTCTTCCTTCACATTAATTCCTATAAAAAAGTAGTGAATAATTTATAGGAAATACTTTAATGCTGAAGAATCTAATACTGAATACACAATTATGATAATTAATTTTTAATTATTCAAATTTTGATGCGTGCTATTTGCGACATCACTGAAACAAAAATGCTATAGTCTAGGGCACTTGTTCAGCATTTAAAATTCAACATTTTTCTTCTCTCTTAAATATTCTCCTTTTTTTATCTTTTGATCTTAAATTTGTGTGCCTATGTATGCTTCAAATCTATATCTGATGTGCTATGTATCTTACAGGATACTGAAATGAATAATAGGAAGGTAAAATTGCATCTTGGAGATGGAATTTTTGAGAATATAGAATGGCAAAAGCTGAGAGTTGGAGATATAATAAAGGTGGAAAAGGATGAATTTTTCCCTGCTGATCTTATTTTACTTTCATCCAGTTATGATGAAGCAATTTGTTACGTTGAGACCATGAATCTTGATGGAGAGACAAATTTGAAAATGAAGCAGGCTATTGAGGCAACTTCAAATTTACACAATGATTATAACTTTCAACACTTCAAAGCAATAATAACTTGTGAGGACCCTAATGCAAACCTCTATACTTTTGTTGGAAGTATGGATCTGGAAGGCCAAAAACATCCCCTCTCACCACAACAACTTCTTCTTCGGGACTCAAAACTGCGAAACACTGATTATGTTTATGGGGTTGTGGTATTCACTGGTCATGATACAAAAGTAATGCAAAATGCCACAGATCCACCATCCAAGAGAAGCAAAATTGAAAGGAAAATGGACAAACTTATATACCTCTTGATGGCTTCCTTGGTCTTAATTGCGGGTATTGGGTCAATCTTCTTTGGTATCAAAACAGACAAGGACTTGAATGATGACAAAATGAAGAGATGGTATCTTCGGCTAGATGATACAGATGTCTTCTATGATCCCAAAAGACCAGCTCTTGCTGCAATATTGCATTTTATAACTGCAATGATGCTCTATAGTTACTTCATCCCAATCTCTTTGTATGTATCCATCGAGGTAGTCAAAGTTTTGCAGACCATTTTTATCAATCAAGACCGACAAATGTATCACGAGGAATCTGACAAGCCTGCCCATGCTCGTACATCAAACTTGAATGAGGAATTAGGCCAAGTTGACACAATTCTATCAGACAAGACTGGAACGCTGACCTGCAACTCAATGGAGTTCATCAAATGCACAATTGCCGGTATTGCTTATGGTAAAGGGGTTACCGAAGTTGAGAGAGCAATAGCTAAAAGAAAAGCTTCCCCTTTGATTTCTGAAGAGGAAAATGATCATAGTAATTTGATTAATAGACCTGCAGTTAAGGGTTTCAACTTTAAGGATCATCGAATCATGAATGGGAAATGGGTCAATGAACCGCATTCAGATGTTGTGCAGAAGTTTTTTCAGTTATTGGCAATCTGCCATACTGCCATACCTGAAGTCGATGAAGTTTCAGGAAAGATTACATACGAAGCTGAATCGCCTGATGAGTTAGCCTTTGTTATTGCAGCACGAGAAATTGGATTTCAGTTCTATAAGAGGACACAGACATCCATCTCTTTATATGAGTTGGATCCCTTGACAGGAAACACAGTTGAAAGGTTAGCAATTATCCTTCTTCACTGAAGATTATTTTGATATATGATGTTATCTGATGCATTCTAATTTATAAGGACAAAGAACTCTATTTCATGGTATTTTCTGCTTTCAGGTCATACAAACTTTTGAACATCTTAGAGTTCAATAGTGCTAGAAAAAGGATGTCCGTGATTGTTCGAAGCCCAGAGGGGAAATTGTTGTTACTTAGCAAAGGTGCTGATAGGTGAGTAGCAAATATGTGATGTTAAATTATGCTTCATGACTTCTGTATATTTTATTTACATTCTTAGTTATTTATTTCCGCTTTATGAACAGTATCATGTTTGAAAGGCTTGCAAAGGATGGAAGTGAATTTGAAGGAAAGACCAGGAAGCATATTAATGAATATGCTGATGCTGGTTTGAGAACCTTGGTTCTTGCTTACCGTGAGCTTGATGAAGAGGAATATCAAAAATTCAATAAGGAATTTATGGAAGCCAAGAATTCAGTTAGTGCTGACAGGGAAGAAAAATGCGATGCAGCTGCTGAGAAGATTGAGAATAATTTGATTCTTCTTGGTGCCACAGCTGTTGAAGACAAGTTGCAAATTGGGGTCAGTGAGAAACTTAATCAAAAATTTGACATAACCTTTCATCTATTCTATAAATTTATGCGAAAACTAATCAGATTCTATATTTGTCATGTAGGTGCCTGACTGCATTGACAAATTAGCTCAGGCTGGAATCAAGATATGGGTTCTTACTGGTGACAAGATGGAGACTGCTATCAACATCGGGTACATATTTAAATGCAAACTTCCGGTTTCAGTTAAAATGCATTTTATTGATCATTCACAGAATCTGACGCAACAAATTCGCAGATTTGCATGCAGCCTATTAAGACAAGGAATGAAGCAGTTAATAATTACATTGGACTCTCCAGATATTGTTCTGTTGGAAAAACAAGGGAACAAAGACGCTATTAACAAGGTAAATATGCTTTATTTTTTCTGATTTAAATATTTTTTTTATTAATCTATTGTGCCTATGCAGACTACAAACTTACTGGATTTAGTCTTCTCACCTTTTGTATGATTTTTGTTATAATTCAGGCATCAATGGAAAGCGTTTCCCGGCAAATAATTGAAGGGAAGAAACTTCTGAGTTGTTCAAGCTCAGCGTCATTTGCTTTGATAATTGATGGAAAGTCCCTTACATATGCTTTAGATGTTACTGTTAAGAATATATTCTTAGAGTTAGCTATTTGCTGCGGATCAGTTATATGCTGCCGTTCTTCTCCTAAGCAGAAGGCCCTTGTAAGACTCTTTTCCATTGATATATTCTGTTAATCCTCATTCAACGTTATTTAATTATAGCATCACTGAAATTATTCAGGTAACAAGACTTGTAAGAACTAGCACTGGTAAAGTAACATTAGCAATTGGTGATGGTGCCAATGATGTGGGCATGCTCCAAGAAGCAGACATTGGGATTGGTATCAGTGGAGCTGAAGGAATGCAGGTTTGTTATACTTGTTGTTATATGCAATCTGTCTCTGTCCATCTCTATCTTTCTCTCTGTTCATTCAAAAAGTACTATATGATTACAGGCTGTTATGGCAAGTGATGTTGCGATTGCCCAATTTCAGTTTCTTGAACGCTTACTTCTAGTTCATGGGCATTGGTGTTACAGGAGGATATCATCAATGGTATTATTGATCTTTTATCATCCACTTAAACCTCAACTTATCAAGACTCTGATGCTGAAATTTTGGTTTACTTTTCCTGCAGATCTGCTACTTTTTCTACAAGAACATCACATTTGGGCTTACAATCTTTTTGTATGAGGCCTACACAACATTCTCAGGTCAATCTGCTTATGATAGTTGGTTTCTATCATTCTACAATGTTTTCTTCACATCTCTTCCTGTTATAGCATTGGGCGTATTTGACCAGGATGTTTCTTCCCGATTTTGCCTCAAGGTACATTTTTTCATCCATAAATCATCAATTCTTTTTGTCATCATCGCTATGTTAACTAATTTTCCCTTATCTAAAACTCAATTGCAGTTCCCCATGCTTTACCAAGAAGGCGTACAGAATCTCCTCTTTAGCTGGCGTAGGGTACTTGGTTGGATGTTCAATGGAATCATTAGCGCCATTATGATCTTTTTCTTGACCCTAAGTGCTTACCAGCACCAAGCATTCCGCCAGGGTGGTCAGATTGTTAGCCGTGACATTCTTGGAGCCACACTGTACACTTGCGTGGTCTGGGTTGTCAATTGCCAAATGGCAATCTCTGTCACCTATTTCACTCTCATTCAACACATATTCATCTGGGGAGGCATTGCCTTATGGTATATATTTCTCCTTGGATATGGAGCAATTACTCCTACTATTTCAACAATTGCCTATCAGTTGTTTCAAGAGGCACTGGCTCCAGCGCCATCCTTTTGGATCACAATTCTCTTCGTTGTGCTATGTACACTCATTCCATACTTTATATTCGCTGCGATCCAAACGAGGTTTTTTCCTATGTACCATAACATGGTCCAGTGGATTCGTTTTGATGGGAGACAAGATGATCCAGAGTATTGTCAAATGGTAAGGATGAATTCTGTGAGGCCAACGACTGTAGGGGTGTCAGCAAGATTAGATGCAAGAGTTAGTCTGATTTCCACTGAAGTACATAACGAACTTGGTGAGTTCACATTTTAAGGTTTGTACAGTATTAACTGATGCCATAGGTTGCAAAGCTGGATTTTGGGTTGTGCACTGTGTTGTTTATAAGATAGATTTAGGTGTTTCTAAGGGGAGAGTTGAAATGTAAATTTTTATTTGTTTTTTTTTCTATTTTTTTGTTCTTTGCCGCCTTTTCTATGTGGGTTTTGTGACGGAAAATAATTTGTGTATTTCTTATTCTTTACTCTTCATCAATAATAGAAGAAGAAAAGTTTACTTCTATTCTTTACTTTTTTCAACTGTCTACATCTTACGGGAAATAATGATTTGAATTAAAAACATGGTTTATAATTTTAAGATTAATTAAATAATACGTATTTTTATTTAAAATTTCACAACTTGTTCATAAAATAAATGGATCAATAATTTTCATTTGATGTCTTGTAATTTGCAAAGCTTTTGCTTTAAAGAATAGGACTGCTATAACTGAATGCTCAATGCAATAGAAGTATATCACATTTTCTTTTGGTTTAATTAATTCATGTTATTAAATGGTGACGGCTTCGCTTGAAATGAAAATTTGTTGGTGAATTGTAGAGATAGTGACAAGGTTTTGAAAATTGGACATGGCCTAAACTGGTTCGACTGGTTCAACCATGAATTGATCCTATGGTTGGTTCGGTTCTCCTGAAAAATCAGTCTAACATCAAGTAGTTGAGAATTGGCTTGAATCGCCGATTCAACTTGCCGACCATTGAACCGGTCCCGGTTCTTAAGAACCAATCAGTTCAATTCAAAATATATTTAAGTAATTTAATTTAATAATATACAATATTTTATTAAATATTAAATTAATTTGAATATAATATACTTTATTCAATAATATAATTACAAAAAAATTATAGTATTATGTATCAAACACTAGTTAATCATGCACATATGATTCTATCATCCCATATGAACTCTTAACCCATGGATTTATGAAAATATATATAAACAACACAATATATGGCTCATAAGTGATGTGAGATTAAACTAATATTTCTATAATGTGTGCATGGTGGATGCTTCCATGAGATTTTTTGGAAAAAATTGTATAGAATATTAAAATAAAAATGATTATAATATTTTTAAAAGTTCTTAAATTTATAACTATTTGTGTATTTATAATTATTCAGATAAAAAATAATTTTTTATAATTTTTGAAGTTCCAAAACTTCTCTCTAAATATGAAATTATATGATAATAAGAAAAATGAAAAATTTTAAATAAATAATGCTATGTTACCTTATAAAGTGAATGTATATGTAATTAATAGATGTAAATTATACCTAAATATATAATATAAAGTAGCAATTATTTATATTATTTTTTTATATTTATTTATAAACTAAATTTCTATTAAATATAAATTAAAATGGCAGATTAGACATATTTATATTTAAATTTTAAATTAGTATTTAATTATATTTAATAATTTAATATAAATATTGATACGTCGTAAAAAAAAATTCTTGATCGGGCACGAATCTCAATGCAAAATCAAGTTGGAAACTCCCAAAATTAAATTTGGAACCATCCAAACTCCGATTTCAGCAAACTTACAGTCGAACTGAGCGTCTCGGAAATACGAACCTAACGACGCCAAATTCGACTCAATCCGAGCCCAAATGAGTACAAATCAAGGACTCGAAGTGTTGTTCGAAGGTTCAAATCACAATTTCGGTTACCAAACTGTTTTCAAACATAACAAGCTTATAGTCAAATCAAGCGGCTCAACAAGCAAATCCAACGAGCCCAAGATCGCTGAATTCCGACACCATTAAGACCTTCAAATGTCTGACGAACGGTCTATGATCAAGGGATTCAGTATCGGCCGTCCATTGAACCACTCCACATTTTCCCCTGATCTCTCACCAATTTTATTGAGATCCTCCTAGGATGTTCGATCTATCCAAGATTATATATCAGAGCTCTGCTCGATGACATTAACTTGTGTAGAAGAGGTCGAATCGAATCCCCATGGGATCAATTTTTCCTTGATTGGAAGGGGGTGAATGTTGTGTGTATCTCGAATCAAAGGTAAAGAATGGTCTATCTTTAGACCGTTACTACCTTTTTGAGGTCAAGATTAAGACCTTACCCAAGGAGTAGAAGTCCAGCAGGGGATTGTATATAGCTTGAAATTTATCATAAGCATTCTTGTATTTGTCGGGAGTTTCCTGATATATCATCTTGGTTTTGAAAGTATTGGAGGGATCATCTTGACCATAGTTAGAGTCAAGGTTACCCCCAAATGCATATCTGATTTTCATGAAATTAATGCATCAATGGATAATATCAGGATGTTGACTTCAGCGATCTTTTGAAGTTGGAGCAAAAATTGCCCCCAATTGGGTATCACGTTCCCACAGATGGTGCCAAACTGTTGTGTCCTGAAATATTTATGTCGGTAAAGAAATATATAGTTTAATTTCTTAAAGTTGTACGAAGATCCAGCACGCACCCCGATAAGAGAGAGGGTATAACATTCATAAGAGACACCAGAGTTTTTATGTGAAAACCCCTAAAAAAGGGAGAAAACCCATGGGGCCTGGCCTAATTTGAATGAATGCAATAGTATTTACAATCGATTACAAAAATGAGGCCCTTTCTTAGGAGAAGGACTTGGCTTGATGTCATAAATGTACATCATATAAAGTCATTACATGGTGGGAGTTATAATAATCAACATAGACATGTTTGCTTGGTCAGCAGCACCATAATTGATAAGATAGACGTCAAAAAGATTATAGTATGTAGGAGACCGGGGTCAGAAAGACTGTTTTCTGACGATGGAGGTTAGAAGACATAGGTCCGAAGGACCATAGTCGGCAGGAGACAAGAGTCTGAAAGACCGTAGTTATAAGTCAGTACTCTAGAAGAACCCTGGGCATCAAGTTGTGGTCTAACGGCAGAGGTGAGGGCCTCAAGTGGTGTCCCGGGGAAGTTGAGGACCTCAAGTACTGGTTTGGCGGAGGTGAGGGCCTCAAGTACTGGCCCGAAAGTGGTGAGGGCCTCAAGTGGTGGTCCGGAGGAGGTAAGGGCCTCATGTGGTGGCCCGGCGGAGGTGAGGGTCTCAAGTGGTGGTCCGGCAGGGTAACAACGTTAGACGGTGGTTCGGCGGAACTCAGGCGGTGGCCGATGAGGCAAGAGCAATCTCCGATGTCTTTGTTGCTCTCTTGCTTGGAGCCACCTTTTCATGAGAAAGGAGGGTTCTATTTATATAGTGGCATTGTCTGTAAATAGGAGTAGGATTAAGGGCAAAAGGGGAGTGGTTTGGATGGACGGCCGATGTTGAATCCCTTGATCGTGGACCATTCGATAGACATTTTCAAGGTCTTAATGATGTCAGAATTCTGCGATCTTAAACTTCTTGAATTTGTCTCGTCGAGCCGCTCGATTCGACTATAAGCATGTCACGTTTGGAAACCGTTTGGTAATCCAAAATGTATATATATTCTAAATAATTTATTTTTTATTTTAAAGTTTGTATTTGATTTTAATCAAATTAGCTAAAAAATATTTTATAATTGTAGTGTTAACTTTGCTTACACTCTAGGTTTTGGTAATTTTAAAAATTATATACAATTTATTTGAAAAAAAATTCAATAATACTAAAGAAAGGAGGCAAAATAAAATGAAATTTCACCACTAAAAATGAGATCTCGACTTCACCAACCGATGAAGACACTTACACAGCGATTGAAACGAATGGGATGCTCGAGCAGGGAGATAGATAACATGTTTCATTGTAGCAAGTCGCCCGTTCTCTAACTCATTGCCAGTCGCCATGTTAGAAATCAGTTGCCCATTTGGTGGCCAACTTTGACTATTCTTAAATTTAAATTCTCTCTAATTAATTAGTTAATTATTTTTTATTTATTTACAACAACATTAAGCCTTTGTTTCACTACGTAGGGTCGGCTACATAAATCCTTTTTCTACATCGTGTCCTGTTAAAAGTCAAATTCTCGCTTAAATCTAATAAAGAAAGATCATTTCTAATTTTTTTTCAACCAAGCTTTTTAGGTCTACCTATTCCTTTTATAATACAAGTGAAATCTAATACCTCTATTTTCCTAATTGGGTCATCGGAAGGCTTTCGTTTTATGTGACCAAACCATCTAAGGTGACTCTTTCTAATCTTATCTTCCACTAGAGCAACTCCAACTTTTCATGTATATGTTCATTTTGTATCATGTCTCTAATGATAAATTCACTCATCCACCTGAGTATCCTCATATCTGCTACACTTAAGATTTTCTTACCTACTTTTTAATTTTGCCCAATAACGTATATCAAGACTTAACCTGTCAGTCGTTGAAACATTTTTTGTTGGTCAAGGTGACATATGGAGTATAACTTTTAACTTCATTAGGATTCAGTTTAATTGCTTCAAGAGTTAGTATGGGACAGAAATCGAAAATAATTGGAGGCTAAGGTTTCATTTAGGACGGCATTCTTACTGCTTCTTAAAGCGACTTTCTAGTTCAAAAATTAAAATTTTAATACTACAAAACTGCTTTGAGAAGCAGCAAGAAAGCCACCCCAAACGAAGGCTAAATCAACAATTTACAAAGCAAAATAGAGTGTGGGCCGCGAACTATGCCTGTACTCTGGATGCATGATTTAAGTGCTATAACGTGGTTGCAAAGGCATTGAAATGACCATCAAATGATTAAGCTGCGGAGAGAAGACCGGCTGGCTAAGACTGAAGAGATGTAATTGCTTCAATTTTTATGCTTAAAGATTTATGAAAATTAAACGCAAGCTAGCAAAAGTTATCTTGCATATGGAAAGTGAACTAGCAAAAGTAAAATCTTTCCAACATTTGTTTTTGAAATTTTTTTTCTTTTTTATAAGATATATACAATTTCTAAACTAGAATACTTCATAATTTTATGCAAATTAAAATCACATATTACAAGAAGTTGATGTGAATCAAAGCAATAGTAATCCTTCACCTTCGTTGAGTTCACCAATATTCTAACTACAGTAACATTTTAAAGCATCATCTTAAGAGATCTCATATATTAGATTAGCCAATGTCTAGGTCCAATTAAAATCTGTTCAAATTTTTTTGTTGTTGATTCCACTATGCATCCATCATGGTCGTAGGTCACAACA